ACATTGTTGCTATTTCAAAAATTATTAATAAAGATACGAGCAAGGCCTCACCTTAATACCAAAAAAAAAAAAAAAAGTTTATTATATAATAAACTATTTTTACTAGTAAAAGACATTAAATGAATTTTTTATTTCAATCAACAAACTTTTTATAACAAACCTTCTTTTTTTTATAACTGCCTTTGAAAATTATACAGTCAATAGAGTATTCAAAGAGATTGCTCAAACAACTTTGCAATAGATAATCAATTTTACTTCTTACATCAAAAGTTTTTATGAAAAATAAAAAAATTGGAAAGCACAAGAAACAATAACAAATACTTATCATCTTTTAGCTTTTGCTCAATTGGCAATAGATTCAACTATTCTATTAATAATTTTTTTATTTGATACAATAACTCAACAGCAACAAAGAACTAAACTGGTGGGTTTTAGATTAATATTTCTCTACTTTAAATTGAATAGATGCTTTTGGTTTTTTTTATTTGTTATTTTCTGACAAAGACATTTGACAAATAATAAAAGAATCAATAAAAGACTGTTCAAATATTGACTGCAATGTTTGTTTTGATTAATTGTAATAAATAAGCACTATACAATTACTCACTAATCACATCAAAAATGATGATTAAAAAGATTACAATTATGATATAAATTGCATATTTAAATTTCATCAAAAATTTTATATAAATATAATTATGCTTATGCATTGAAATTGATGCTTGAGTACAAACTGTTTAATTAGTTGTAATTAAAATTATTCGCCAAATATTACAATATTATTATAAAATACATATAAATTTGAATATATGCATATTTTATATACCAGTAAGTGTTAGTTTAAGACAATGATAATTTTCTGAACCTGATTATTTAAATTATAATATATCTGTTTTTATTGAATTATTTATATTATTTTTAGAGAATATTATTTTCCAATTAAATTATTATCACGGCTGATAGCTAAAGCTTAAAATTTCAGAATATATTTTTAAGTTTTTTTTATAGTTAGTTTAAAATTTATTATTAGTTTTAATAATTAAAATGTATAAATAGATTTGATAGGGTTTATATTTTTTTTAAATTGAGGTCTCTAATTTCAAGCTTCAACTATAATAATTATTAAAAAGTTTACTGTATTTAATAGTTAATTATTTAATAAAAATTTAATACAAATCAGGTCACTCAATTACTAATTAATGATATTTCAAATAACAAATATTTAATATATAAGGCACTCATTAAACAAAATTAAAAAAAAATGAATATCTAAATTAAAAAAAAAAACAAAAAAATTAAAATTATACTTCAGTTTAATTTTAAATAAAAATTTGATCTCTTTAATAATAATAGAAGATATAGAATTTATAAATATAGAAGACACAGATAATATAAAAGATACAAGTAATACAGATGATGATGATATAGAAGATACAAGTGATACAGAAAATGCAGATGATTTAGGAAACATTAGTAATATAGAAGCTGCAGAAGTTATGAACATTGAACCAAACACTATTATTAAAATATCATCTTCAAGTTATTGCATAAATTTGTAAGGTTGAAGGATGTGAAACAAAATATAGTACTACAACATCTACTAGTGTTCTAAATATATATCTTAGAAATAAATATAATATTATACTTAGTTTAAGAACAAATCACTTACATCAATCTCAGAAACCATATAGTAAAAATAATATTAAATGTAAACAAGAATGCCTTAATGCTACTGATTAGTGCACAACTTCCATTTTCATTTATTAAACATCATTGGTTTTGTAAAGCAGTAAATGTTTATGATTCAAGATATAAATTACCATCAGTCAAAGATTTAAAAAATATAATAATATTTTGATTTGAAACTCATTGTGCATATAATGCAAAAGAGCTTAAAGAACTTACAACCAAAGTTGCACTTACTACTGATGTTTGGACATCAAGTTCGAACCAAGCATATCTTGGAATTACTATATACTATATAAATAATAAATGGAAATTGTATCATTTTTTACTTGATATTATTCATTTTAAATATAGTTATAGTGCACTATATATAAAAGAAAAGCTCAATAAAATCTGTAAAAAAATGAATATTGTTAATAAAGTAATTTTATTAACAACAGATAATATATCCACAATAGTTTTATATAAAGAAATTATTGAAGAATGAAATGCTTATAGATTTTGTCTTATCGTTATACTGCTTATATTTTTAATATTGCAGTAAAAAATAATATAGAATTTTGGGCCACAGTAATTGTCAAAGTTCGAAAGTGCATAAATTGTATTTATAATTCAACAATTTTATGTGATAGGATTTGAAATTTTGCAATATAACTAGAAAAAACTATAATACATTAAGTATTTATGTAGTAATACACTGGAATAATACTTATTATATACTTTATTGATTTAAAAATCTGCATAATGAACTCAATATTTTTAAAACTGCATATTCTGAACTTGATAATAATTATCATGATAAAGAGAAGTAGCAAAATATTAATAATATAATTTTTTGCTAGAACCAATGTTCTATACAACAGAAATTCTTTCAATAGGTTCATTTCCAACTATTGCCGATATTTGTTTAACTTTTCTTAGAATTATTCACTATATAGAGCTATTTATAGCCAATCAATTATATTCAAAAGATGAATACATAATAGTATATTTAATTAAAAATAAATTAACAATTATTGGGCTATTCTTAACTCTAATAAATCAGCCAAAATAGCTTCAATCCTTGATCTGACATCTAAACTAACTATATTTTATACTTTAGTAAGAAAAATATTGCTCTTATTAGTTTATAAAATATGATGAATTAGTATAAACCACCAGCTTCATCCTCTACATCTGTAATTAATAATAAAAGATGATGACTTATATTATTAATTTCGCAACAAACTATTATACCACTTGCAAAAGAACATATTATCTATACTACCCATATTATAATCTATTAAAAATGCTCCTTTCAATAGTGGGCTACTAATAGATACAATTATCTAATACTTGCAAAAATAGCATAAGATTATCTTGCAACCCAAGCAACAAGTGTTCCTTGTGAGGAAGCATTTTCAATAGCTTCAAGAATAATTCTAAACTTTATAATCATCTTAAATCTAATACTGCTTGTATATTACTTTGTTTAAAAGTTGAATGAAAAATAATATTGGTATACAAAAATAAGTATTTTTAGTATTTTAAGTTTTTTTAAAAAAATAAACAACTTTGAAAAGTATTAAAAAAAATACTAATTTTAACAAATTAAAAATAAAATACTATATATAATATTTTTTTCTATTTTTAGTTTCTTAATTGCTATAAATTGTTAAAAAAATTTAGTTAGTGCTTATTTAGTAATCTTTTCAAAAGTAGTAAATAAAAAAAGATTATTACTTTAGATAAAAAGAATATTCATTATGTTTAACATGTTTTATATAGTCAATATGGTATATATTGCATATATAGTATATATAAATAATATAGTAAATATAAATATATTAAATATAAATGATATAATAAATTTAGTTTTTAATACTTTATCTCTTAAACTGTAATCCAGGCAAATTTGCCTGGAAAATTAAAGTATATTTAAAATTTTTTAAATAAAAAATAATTTATTAATAATATAGAGTCTATATTTATTATAAAATATATTCTTGAAAACATATTTTATAAACTTTATTATAAAAATTTTTAATATTATTAGTAAACTTTTGAATAATAAAACATTAAAGTTTAAGTTTAAAAATTTTTATTATTAAAATTTTTTCAAGATTTTTTAAAATTTCATATGTTTTCAAAGCTAAAAATTTTTTTTCCTCTTAATACAAGTCCAAATTTTTATAAGTAAGTTGCAATATTTATAATAATGAAAAATGTCATCTTTTATATAAACTAAAATATTATATTAAGAACTATAGCTTTAAAATTAATATTTGAAGAGTTCATCAAGAATAAGTAGATAATTTTTTTGGTTAAAAATTTTTTTCTAAATTGGTATACTTTGTTCTTATAAGCAACTTAAATTTTTTTTTTATAAAATAAAATTAAATACTACTATATAATTTTTATTTTCAAATATTATTAAAAAAAATTTTATTTAAATATTTTAAAAATTAAAAAATATAGATCATAAGTATATTT